CACTACAAGACTCATTAAGACCACACACACACTACTCTGTAAAAAGTTTCTAATAAACATCAAATTTGAGCATCAAAATAAAATTAAGGCAGATAAAACATCAAAAATAACCTGAAATATTAGTAAAATTAAAGAAAACACCGATTTTCAGACAGTTAAGTGACAGGTCTGACCACTGATTTTCAGACAGTTAAGTGACAGGTCTGACCACTGATTTTCAGACAGTTAAGTGACAGGTCTGACCACTGATTTTCAGACAGTTAAGTGACAGGTCTGACCACTGATTTTCAGACAGTTAAGTGACAGGTCTGACTTTTCAGATGAGGGCAACCATGAAATTATCATCATTTTTTTCTTGTTTTTCAGTGTCATCAACACTGCAACTAGATGGTTTCAGTATTTTATACTCATCAATACATGAATTTAACTTATAAACACAAGTTTTCTTTTTCCCTAACTGCTTCTTTCAGTAAAATATGGCAAATTTAATGTCGTAATTTGTATCTTGTAAAATATAGTAAATATCTATTTGTTCTGCTATAGCCTTAATTAAACAAAACCAGCTCCATGCTCTATAATACACTTTTCTGTGTCTATAAGTTTGCAGCCCAAATTGTTCAATTAACAGAGCTTCTTTAACTTTTGTTGATGTATCTTATTATGTATCTAAAGGTTTCTCTTAATTGTATTTCACATATCAATTACAACGTATTAGTCTTAATTAAATGTAAATAAATACCTTCACATTATTATTATATTTATACCTATCCAAGCCTAACACTTTTTGATGTACGTTAATACACAATGTTTGTTTAGAGTATATTAACACTAGGTATAGTTTTTTTTGGAGTGTATTAACCACTAGAGGAGCTGAAGACCATGAACCTTCAGATTCAGTCACCACATGTCAACCACTAAAGGAGCTGTAGACCGTGAACCTTCAGATTCACAGTCACCACATGTCAACCACTAGGCTATGTTGAGCACAAAGGGAAATGTGAATGAACTTATTCAATAGGACGTTCTTAGTAAAACTTACAATGTCTACGTATACTATTAAAATATGTTAATTCACTGAATATCCTTACACTTTAAGAATTACCTTCATTCCCTTACACAATAATTATACAATATTTTTATCCTGGGAGTAGTAAGCAGGAAATTATAATACACCAAGTTACAAGAACAATCTTATAATATGGTAAGTTGTCCCTAACACTGCCGTAACAGTCTAAGGTTTACAGGGTGAAACTATTCCGGTTTAACATACAATGCAGCTAACCAGTGAAGTGACCTATGTTTCTATTGTTAAGAGCTTCTTCACTAGATGAAAATAAATGTTGTATCATCTACTCGGTACAAACACAACGATCCTATGAATGTAGCTGCACAGATGTTAGCGACCGATTTTAACAAAGCATTACTGTTAGCTAGTGGTAGTTTTTTTTTGGGGTGGGGGTGTTCATTGTACATAGTTTGGCTGTAATTACAATAAAATCATTTTAATTGTCGGTTTTACATTTCAAGGTAACTAAATAACCACATGAAATGAAAACAAAACATGAAAGCAGATTATTTTAGCAGCATGATAAAAATTCTCAAATGTACAAACACTAATACACATAAAATATCATTTGACTTGTATGTGTAAGAATACCACGAGCTAGGTATTTGATAAATTATATTACAGTGTAATGTATTTGTTAATATCAGCAGAATTGTCTGGCACGACTAAGCATGTCGCAGTAACGTAATCCTAATGTCTGTCAAGTTTTAAAAAGTATCACAAACAACTATTGTAGTTATTTTCAGTAAGTTTCTACCCAGTAACTAATCTGTAAACTCTTATCTATTAACTCATATCTCACATCTAGTTCAAAGATTTTTAGATGTTTAAATCCAGCTTAGTCCTAAGTGTCATTGCTTACTGTTAAGCCTAACACCTAACCTCTGTGAAACCTAAAACTATAGTCTTCCCATATATCTTTTCCTTGATCAACTTGTATTACAAATAAGATTCAATTATATTTGACGTAGAGTAGACAATTTTTTCATGCCTCTTTTACCGTCAACAACAAAAATGACTGAATAAAACATTTAAATTTAGTAGAAATAACTTCTGCCGAGTGCTTTGATTTTGTATAACGTACATGGCGCATCCTAAAAGAAAATACTAAGTGTTCTAAAATGAAGATAATATTGGCAGTGCTCAAGAACAAACTTACCTATACAGCTCAAACAGAAACTAAAGACACGGGTGGCTCACCTACACAGAAGTTGAATCATCAGTACACAAAATGTTAGTTAGTTTTTAGGGTCCGTTTTAGAAAAATTTGACTTCACTGAAAGTCAGCATGAAATTGTTTACCTTTCAAAATGTATGAGGTTTTAGTTGTTTTTTTTTTAAATGATCAATTAGCATGACAAACTTTAGATCAACAAAAAATAAAGATTCAAATATACGAATATGCACACACACAATTTCTTGAATAGGAATGGAGCTTAAGCTGAGATACAAGTGACATTCTACTATTTATCATGAAATTCCATACAGCAAATATCATAAAAATGCACTTTGAAGGTTCTTATATGAAGATCATTTACTTGTCAAAGTCTTTAAGTTCTAAAAACATTCGATAAATATAACACTCAAAAAATAAACATGCTTTTTTTTTTCAATGACTGTGGTCTTTCCCAAAAATCCAATCAATCAATCAATTACTAGAGAACAATCCAAAATTCTTAAAAATACTGATATATCGGCCTTGTTTCAAACACGCACTTCATGCCATTCCCATCAACAAGTCAAGAAAATAATTACATTCGAGTACTTTAAGTATATCATCATGCACCTTACGTTTATTGTAGCTTTTAAACATCAAGTGAACTACAGAAATAATTAAATAAAATACAATATGAGAAATAAGCGAAATACTGATACGAAACACAAAAAACTATTTTTAATGCATGACAATTAGATTCACTTTTGAGAGATTTAAATATATTAATGTAGTAATCTCAAACTGAACAAAATTATTATATTTACCATAACTTAAGCAGTTATATGTATTATTACTTCCTGCTTACTACATGCACTGTGGTGCTAACACTTAACGTTCCATTGTTAAATACATTTAACAAGAAAGTCCCATTCCATTCCAAAAAAATGACCCTCCAGTGCTCACAATCTTTACAGATAGCCCTCTATAGGTGAAAGGTTGAACCACCCCAGTAAACATCCATTTTACCAATTCTGGTAATGTCTTGAAAATTGGAAACAAACAATAACGCAACTACAATTTTTTTCTTAATGAAAATTAACGTCATTTAAAAAAAAAGCCCACAGATTCACAGTGCTAATCACTAAGCTACACTTGGCCAGGTTAGATGAGAACTAAAAGTAGCCAAACAGAAATTCTCCCAAAAGAACTTTACTCACCACTAGGAGAAACAATTACAGGTTGTGTAAGGCGATTATCACCATTAGCTGGAAGAGTGAGGAGAACGACGAGAACAGAACCAAGACTGGTTCCCACCCACAAGCTCCGACCAGTCATAGAGTCTTGTAGAAAGGTAAAGAATTACTTAAAAGTGAATTAAAACTTTCAGAAATTACAAGAAATATTCATAAAAAAGATTAAACTATTAAAAGCATTACGAGTTATTTTAAATTAATATGTTTACATAATTGTTTGTTTGAAATACCTATAAAAATTTGTATAGTGCAAATAAAATAGAAATTTGTTAGTTACTGATTAAAGTAAATTATTTACTGGACAAACAATAACAAGTTACATTATATTAGGCTATTTATTAATGCAATTTTTAAAGTAGAGAATATTAAGTTTGCCAAATCTTTCAAATTAAATCAACAGTACTTGACTTAATTATTCACATTTTTTTTTAATACTTCCTCTATTACACACAACACTGCTTTGGTCTCCAAGTTAACATTCTGATAATACAGCAAAGTGGATAAAAATCATACCATTTTTTTTGCAAAATGTTTCCGCAAAACTGAGCCACTGAATAGCTTCAGCACTGATGTTTTCAAGACTCGACATGCTAGAACTTCGAGATCGAGAAAAAGAACTGTCGATCTTGTCTATGTCAACAAGAAAGATTTCTATTAAACATTAAATACTGGATTCTTTAATGTAGTAGGTAAAGCAGCCTAATGTAATATTCATAAACTGTTATAAATATTATCATCTTATTGGGATTAAATAAACAAGGACATTTCATGCATTAAAATTACTGACGTAAGAACATTTATCATTAAAGAAACTCTACGATTTAAAATAAAATCTATTTAATAGTTGAAAAGATAATTACGTGCAACATCCAGTACATCTATGAATATTATTCTATTAGCAAAGATCTCCAATACAAATTAAAATTAAATATTTGACAATATTTAAACCAAGTAAAACAACGGGATGATGATTTACCAGTCAGACATTTGAATTTTGGTTTTAAGCAAAATTTTAAAAAACTATAACTCAGCTTTCTGTTCTCTAAAATTTTTAAGCACTTGTAGATTAAAAAAGTTTATAAAAATGCCATTTTGCAAACAAGTTTGATAAAAAATGAAACTAACATTACATGAAAAAAAAATCATTCTGAAAGTTTTGATGGTAGACTATTTTCGTTAAATGGTAAGTTACTAGACTTGCACAAATGACAAGAACCAATGAAAATGAAGAAGACATTTCAACAATTTTGCTAGGACATTAAAGTGAATAAAATCTATTGATAATCTGGTTAAAACTAAATCAACATAAATCAGGGATACATGTGCAATACTTATAAACATAAAAGTTATACTACATCATCTATCATTCACCTCGCTTATTAATAATTTTACTTTCAAATTTAGTTACTACAGTAACAGTCCTAAGATTTTAATATCACTGGATTTTCAAAGGATTTTACTAGTAAATCACTACCAATTACAATCTTTTCAGAACTAGATCTCACAAAGTGAAATGATTTAGTGATACTGACATGCTTATCTTTCACTAACACAAATGATAACTTGATAACAATACCAACACAATGTCCACATGGAATATGCAAACCAATCACATGACAGAATAAACAAACATACAAGGGGTGTCACACAATTGCTCTAAACTAAATAAACACACAAATGCTGCTCGTAACGTTAATAAACGAGTCATCTTCAGATCATGATTTCAAGAATGCAAGTTGTTCTCCATTCACACTATTACGTTAATCTCTATAGAAAAGAATTAGAAACTTAGTTGAAATGCTTGTACCTCAAAGTTATTAATATGTGCACAAAAGAACATCACTGGTCAGATGACATAACTACGGTCAATGCAGCAAGCCAACAAAAGTGCATAGCCTTTAGTGGGCACAGACTATCTAAGACAGCAGGCTATTCTAACATGCCATGAAAAATTAGCCCACAGATTCACGGTCCCATGATGTAGAGGGTATGTTTTTGCACCAACATGCCATTAAAAATTAGCCCACAGATTCACGGTCCCATGGTGTAGAGGGTATGTTTTTGCACCAACATGCCATTAAAAATTATGGTGCAAAAACATACCCTCTACACTATGGGACTGTGAATCTGTGGGCTAATTTTTCATGGCATGTTGGTGCAAAAACATAACCTCTACATCATGGGACCGTGAATCTGTGGGCTAATTTTTTATGGCGTGTTGGTGCAAAAACATAACCTCTACACCATGGGACCGTGAATCTGTGGGCTAATTTTTCATGGCATGTTGGTACAAAAACATAACCTCTACACCATGGGACCGTGAATCTGTGGGCTAATTTTTCATGGCATGTTGGTGCAAAAACATACCCTCTACACCATGGGACCGTGAATCTGTGGGCTAATTTTTAATGGCATGTTGGTGCAAAAACATACCCTCTACACCATGGGACCGTGAATCTGTGGG